GAGGGGGGGCTCCGAAAATTTTTAGACACCCGAAGTGGGGGCTCTGAAAAAATTGTTGCGCTAGGAGGGGGGGCTCCGAAAATTTATATACTTCAAAACCAACACATGACATCATCATACAGATCGGATGGTTTTCAACTCAACATCACGTGAACTGTGATGAAAACAAGAAAATCTTTGCGTGTTGTTTCCCTCTCCGCCTCTTCTCTCGTAGTCTACTGTCTGTAGTGCAATCTTAACGTTCTATATTTGCACGACTCAACCCAGTGCTACGAACAAAGGACAACGCTCGTCCAGCCGTAGTTCGTAGTCCGTAGTCTCCGTATCTTAAACTCCCTATTATTGGTCAGATCGTTCCAAACTAGGTGACGTCTCATTCTATTAGTCAGATCGTTCCACAGTGTGGAGCACTCTCTTTTGGCTTCTTATTATCTTAAAGAACGGGGTATACAGAGGAGTGCCCTTGTTACTACTCGTGGCTTCGGAGACTCGTGAAACGTTTCAACTGTACTGTTGAATTATCTGACTATCTGGCCTGGATCGATCTGACCATGACGCTATAACGTCTGTGACGAACGCCACAACTCTAAACAGTAACCTACCGTTGGCTGGATCTGAAACTCTGGTTGACATTACAGAGGTTGAAGAAGTCGTTGAATTTTCTGAAAAAAGGGAGAATAAAATAAAAAAAAAGGAACTAAACTAAACGCGAAAAGATTCTAACGGTTTGCGTAGAGCATTCCATATTTCTTTAAATTCTAAACAAAAAACGTTCAGCGTAATTTAAATTCTTTGGATTAGGACATTGAGTTTCTATTTGTTTGATTTTTTCTTGTAGTCACTTTGGAATACAGTGGAACCTCGATATAACGAAGGGCCAATGGACTACCAGAATTTGTTTGCCATACCGAGGTTTCGTTATATCGATGTTCTTTCACTATTACTGGGTAAAAAAACTCGGCGTTCAAGTTCGTTACATATACCGAGGACTTCTTTACATAGAGGCTCGTTATGTCGAGGTTCCACTGTAGATGGTAATTTAAAATTATAATATGCTTTCAATAAAAACTAGCCGAATAAAAAATCCCCACTATAACCGTTATTTTTGTCAAGTGCACCCATGCCAACGATGAAAATCAAACAACAAACTAACTAATAGAGAAACAGTATCACTCACCGTCGACTTTCAGGTGTATCACGTGCAACGTCGTATTAACAAAGTAATCGCGGCAAACACTCTTGAATTTAGCGTGAACTTCATAGGACCCTTCATCGTTTGACTTGGTCTCGTTAATACTTAGCAATAAACGCGATGCATTGTACTTGTAAAACCTTGACCGCTCGCAGAAGCCTCCGCCTGCATTGCAGTTTGCTCTTTCGGATTCTGCGTTCAATGTAAAAATTACTTCATTCCAATTTTTTGTCACGCGATAAAATCCAAAGCACTCGCTGGTATCATTTGGTCTACAGAAAGACATATCAGCCACTTCTCCAACATTGACGTTAACTTCTTGAACGTTATAGTAAGATACGTTGCACGAGTCACCTGTAAAAAAAAAAAACACAGTGATTATTAGGGTTTTACTTGTACACATGCAAATAGCGGCCGTTTCTCTCGTGCGCATCATAATTAATCGCTCCGTCCAAGCGAAACTCACTTTAACACACGTATATGAGCATCGACCCTACAAGAACGCTTTGAAAGAGTGAGAAATATCATTTTGTAGAGCACCTAACTAAAACTATTTCATTGTATTTGTTACTTTAAATTAAAGTGTTTGAGTCGAAAGCTTAGAACTCGTGCCGGGTACCATGCAATTTCTGTTAGGCACGTTTTAGTTACAAGTTGTTTAACTTCGATTTGGCTAAACTTAGCCTTCCTAGACTATGACAAAGCTCAGCCAGTCAAAATGCTAAAAGGAGAACACACTCACCCGTAAGATATAGTGTAAAGAAGTAAACCACAGCGAATGAAAAGGCTTCTAAAAATTTCATGGCTAGCTGTTACTAAACTTAGCGTGAAATAGGGTGTGACGATAATACCTCTTTTGTCAGGACCGTCAGCAAACCCACATCGCGTGCTCATTTTTGCGTGACTAGTTGAAACTTCCTATTTTTCCCGGAAAGTGATTACTGGAAGCCGGAAAAAACCCTCGTTCTCGAACGAAATATATACAAAGCAATTTGATTGAAGCGTAAACTGACCAAATTGTCTAGTAACAATTTCAATCTCTTACAAGATCTCTCACAAAAGTACAGAGTAAAAACCCGCGACTATTAACCTGCATTTTCCAATGTTAGCCTAATCAGGTCCTTACATACAGTGTAAATGGTAATTAGCATTTCTTGCGTAGGACCTGCTGAGTTGTGGTTAAGTTTAATTTCCTCATTTAGTAAATTTCCTTGTTCTTTTACACTAACAGCATAGGGTCACTTCACTATTAGTAGTATCCAAGAGCTGCTCAGTTCAACCACGTTACTCACATGTCTTGCATCTTGGCAAGACCAGAGGAGTATCACTTTTTGGTTGCCCGATAAAAGGGCGTTTCGAATATGTGCGCGAATAACAACCTGAAAAGCTCTAACGGCAAAGCTGCCGAGGACAAAACCTTGACACGTACATAGGTTACCGGACTAAGAAAGTGTTGCAAAAAAGACGAGCTGAAACGCGTACGTAACCACTTAACACACAAAAAAAAATCATCGAAGGACTGACCTACTTTTCTCAAAATCTGCACGGCTTTCGCCTAAAAAAAAAAAAAATTGGTAAGTCGAAATAATTATTAATAACCAGAAAATGAGCTTACTCTTTATATTATTATTATTATTATTATTATTATTATTATTATTAATATTTAAGGCAGGTCACTGCGCTCTTTTCAACCATTCGATTTTGTTCTTCGCTACAAATAAAAACGCTCATGTGACATTTGTTTTTTCCAAAGTAAACTATTTACGAATATGGAGTCACATTTGGCGTTTGAATTCAGTCTCGAGCGTGGACTGTGTAGAATAATCGGGTTCGAGATTCGCACTGGCAGTATTCAGAGGATACAACTGAACTTCTGATTGCTTTTTATTCCACTGACTCAAGACGAAAAACAATTCTTAAAGAGAATTCTAATTTATTTTGGCCTTCAAAGTGGCACTAGAAAACTCCCACCGGCACAACCTCACGAGTAAAGTGCCCAACTGATTCCAGTTTGAATGCATTTTCAGAAGCCACAGATGTTATACTTAAAGTAAGTGAAACATCCCCGATTCTGCTTTAGTCTGACGTCACAGTATGGGAAGACTATATGATGGGTGGATCCTTGTCTATTTTAACTGGATCCTCTACGTCAGAAATTAAAAGGATTTGTATGGGACTTCTATATGGGACGCTTATATGGAACTTCCATATGGGATAACTATATGGGACGCTTATATGGGACGACTATATGAGATGGGATTCTTATAGGATCCACCTATTTTTCAGTGGATCCTAATGTGCCAGAAATTAGAAGGATTTGTATGGGATTTTATGGTTGGTGGATCCTACTGCGCCAGTATCTTTATTATACCCCTACTAGTCACACTCTTTCATAATTGCACAGTTTCCCAAATTTGTCTAAACTTTTATTTAATATATAAACTTTGCAGCTTCTATTTTCATTTTTATCAGTCAATTTTATTGACCATGGTGGAGGACAATATTACTTAAATTTAGGTGCTAAGTGTTCGACTTAAGGCTTAGCCAAATGCATTAGCGTAAAGTCACTCAGTTTTGATTGCCAGTAAATTTGTCTGTCAAAAAGGGACATGAAGTATCTTTTAGCCTGAGAAAACAGCCGGCATTTCACGACGCCACCAATGGTTTCCCCTCGAAATGACGTCTGTCAGGAACCTAGATCTGGGGAGTGCTTTTGATTGGTTGAAAATTTGTTTCATATAAGCAAAAGCATTAACACTTAGATCCCAGTTAGTGACGCGTCATCAGTGTGGAATTTTTGCCCTCGAACCTTAGACCACATTTCGCGGGGAAAACCCAGTTGAAGTCGCGAAATTGATGTCACCTGTTTTATCAGGCTTGTATTTTTACGCTTTAATTTCTCAATTTGTTGAATTGAAAGAAATGTTTTCAGTGGGTTAAGGAGTATATAAGAATGCCATTCATGATGTCTCTAGTGGGAAGAACGATTTTCCATCCAAGAAGCAATTGAACCAAACTTCGGTCGCTCAGATGGTTCCTCGTGCCAGCATTGTAACATAAGCTTATAGCTAAAACAAAAATAAAGGAAAATAAAGGAATAAGAAAAGTAAGTTTAAAAAGCAAATCCAGTACGTGTTTCTTTATTAAGTGAACGAACTGGCCCTTGTAACTAACAATCCCGTCGGACAAATTAACTTAATTCCTAGCCATTAGTTTATAACTGGAAAGGACAGAGAAAGTTGGTAACTCCGGCTATAAGAAAAGCCGGGAAAACTATGATATCATATCGCAGCAAACTCTTACAAACTCCCAACCATTCAGTATATGTGATCTGTACTCTCCTAGAGAGGTATATGCCTTGTATAGGATGTATGCGTTCTTTTTTTGGGTGCTGACTACAGCATCTTTTGTGACATCTCTGAAGTAAGCATTCAATGATTACAAGATCAGCGCTAGCACAATAAATCGAGAGACAAATTAGGTCAATTTAGAGAGCACAATGAGTACAGCATATAGAATTTAGGGATAGGATGTAGAAACCACTGCGACAGATTCACGAAGCCTTCTCCTCATACAAGATATATCGGGATACGGTATCTCAAGAGGCTGTTGTTAAGGAGCAATATGAATATTTAGGATACGTCCGGCCAGGAGTTCTTCGAATATATCACCCTCTTGCGAGAAATACTCACAGTTCTGAAGTAAAAGCTGATTTTCTTTGCATCCGTAGACCACTCGCGACAAAGCTATAGACCTCTTCCCCGCTCATTCCGTCGTAAGGTTTTCCTCCTATAAATATAAATGCAGTATAAAAGTGGGTGTGCATTATTTAGTAATTATTCAATAAAGCTGAGTAGGATGTGAAGAATTATGCAGTGCAAAGGTGCGACTGGCCTGTCTACAGATCCTCTTTGTTTTTCTTTCTAGATCATCGAGCGCGCGTATGAAAATAAAACCCGCAGTGGATTTATTGACCGCCAACGCAAGGGGGCTTCGCTCGCGCACTCGCAAAGGCTAGAGGCTCGTATATAAGTGTTCAGCGGTTCCAATGACTATCGAATTAGAATTAGTAGCCTTAGGTTTTTTCTATTACCAGAGAGAATCCCTTTGGAGCAAAAATGAGAACTTACCGATGACGAGCGAATTGAACCGACCAATTGAGTCCTTCTCAGGGATACAAACTAATGCCTCATTGGTGGGAGACGCGCGCGAGTGTTGTCACCCTTGTTACACAGTACAGGCCGCCGAGCCATCTTGCTAGAAATGTGACCACATGTCAGCACTTTGCTAGATCAAGATTAACTGCTAGCGGGAATCGACGCTACAAGCGTCTTATATATCTGATGTCTGACCCTGAATCAGTTTCGCAGTACAACTCAATCGTACGCTTGGTGTCGTTTATTCATGAGGTTCTGCTGTTCTACTTACCGAGGGTGAAAATTTCATACAGGACAATCCCGTAGCTCCATCTAAAATCAGACGATTTCAGTTTTCATTAGTCTGTTTTGGTTATTTTTGTGTTTTTGTCTACTCTACCACACAGTCTAAACAGTTTCGTTATCTTGATGTACCCTTTATTCGAGTAAATTAGACCGCCTAGCAATACACCCTTATTTAAGCCCGGCTTTAGATGGGATCTTAAAGACATGGCACATTACTTTCATTACATTCATGCTCCTCCAATACTTCGCGGCGCCTATTTCGCAGAGGCAAAGTTAGTGAAAGAAAACATGCACAGATTTAAACCTTTAACACAAAACGCGATACTTATAATTTAGTCATATTTTTTCGTAACCATGCAATCATCGGCTTTGACTCCAGCGAGCGTTTCGATGATATCGCTCACTAATCAAACGACTACAGCAACAAATCTTAAATAGTCTACAAGTAGACGATGTGTAAACCATAACTAAAACATTCTTTCAAGATACTGAAAGATCCGCTTGACGGGGGATACGAATTCCGCGCTGCGTTCTTGTGAACAACAGCTTAAGCATTCTGGAGAAAAGTATTGATTTGAGAAACAGCTTATGTATGCATGTCAAATGCATGCCGAACGGTTATATTTTCGTTCTATACTTACACATCACTTTCGGTAGTATAAACTTGATTTATTAGTGACTCAACTGCCATCCATTTTACAGGCATCAGACCCTGTCAATAAAGCGCAGAACCTTGAATTCAGGAATCGTTTGGGGGTAGTGTCTGTTGCGAAATATAATTGACAGCTGTGAATCACAGCGCAGTTAAGGTACGGCTTACGATGTGCGCTTGGCTATCAAACAGGCAGTCTTAAATCAATCGTATCCGGCAGGAAATTTATTTTCGATTTAGCATAAAGGACAATGGTCTTTGTAATATACACGTACTTACATTGGATCTTCTAACGTAGATTTCCTCTCGGCCCAGGTCCCTTGCCATGCCAAAGTCGGTAATCTTACAGCGCAGCCCTTCACCAACTAAGATGTTTCGAGCTGCCAGATCTCTGTGGATAAGCTACGACCAGAACTAATAATGTATTTAATCATTACATAAAAAAGTTTGCATACAAATTTTCTTATGACGCAAGCATTGTGCTTTTCCTTATGTTTGCGTCATCTAAGCTTAAAATTGCGGGCAAAAGGTCGTAATCACGAGCCATAACAAACTGTGTAACGAAACATATTTTCATTCGCTAATGCCTGGGCTTTTGTTTGCGTTGTTTCGTTGTGCGTTTAAACGGAGTTGACGAAAATCACTCGCCACGAAAATCCCTCTTGCCTGCAAAGATGGATTGATTGTTTTAAATCTTTAACGCTAGCTCAAGTAGAGCCCAAACTGTACTCCATAGTTCCTTCTTCGCTGAACTATATACTTGCCAGCGTTTTTATTGGGCGCACGAGTACCTAATTTTTTTGGGTACCCGCATCGATGCACTGAGCCTACGCCTCGCAAGGCATGCGCTGTAACTAACTTCTCTAGCTTCGTCAAGACAAATTTAATGCTTTTGCTTAGCGTTCCGGTAATCTTTCTAGTCTCTACACAAGCAATCCATATCTATATCTCTGGAAACAGCGAAAAGTCAAAGCATTCATAGAGATCAGCAAACCTGGTGCGCCGAAATAAATTCCATTCCACGGGCGATATCAGCTGAGAATTGGTAAAGTTGTCGTTGTGGTATCTTTGATGGCACTTCCTTACTTTTTAAATCATAGAAATCATCATTTTCTCCATTGCTTTTTCTCAGATATCCAAGAAGATCGCCATGAGGAACAAATTCCAGTATAACAAGGGGTGGTCCTTTTAAAAAAAAAGTGGGAAGAAACTTATGCCTCGTCCACACGTATCCGAATTTTTTGGAATTCGCAACTTTTTCTTTGAGGATTCGGCTTCCGTCCACATGTATCCGGTGAATCCACCATACAAATCCGCATCTTTTTTAATCCGCTGTCCAAAGTGGAAATGTTTTAATACGCTATAAATCCGGAATCGTGTGGACGCTAAATCCGGATATTTTTTATCCGGTGACGTAACAAAATCGAGCCCAGTTCTTTACCGTGAATACAGTAGAACCTCTATTCAGCGGACACCCTCAGGACCAAGGCAAGTGTTCCCTGAATAGAGGTTGAGCTGGGGTTTGTTAATAATTAACCAAAAAATAAAATATATTTCTTTTATTCGGCCTTGGAATCTGCTGAAGTCATTATTTCAAGTAGCTACATAATAATAATAATAATAATAATAATAATAATAATAATAATAATAATAATAATAATAATAATAATTATAAAATCATGATTAACTTATTTCTACATTGTTGTGTGTTGAATTCCTACAAATGCAGTACACCGATTTTAAGTGAGATAGTTCATGTTACTTTGAAATCTGTAGCCGTTGTGACCAGTGGACTCTTAAATGTATGCGATTTTTGTGGTCAATCACTCTAGTTTGAACACTAAGGTGTCCCTTGAATGAAGGTTAAACCCGAGTTTCGGAACCCAGAAAACGTGTCCCTTTTTTTCTGAAAAGAGGTGACCCTTCAATTAATAGAGGTAACAAATGCAAAGATCATGTGAACGTTTTTCCCGGACCAGAGTTTGTGTCTCCTGAATAGAGGTGTCCCAAAGGAGAGGTTCCACTGTATTCAAGATGGTTCCGAGCGCACTGTTGTCGCCTCTGGCTTCTTGGACTTCAGTTTACAGTCTTATAACGTGTATGCCGTTAAATCTAGCTATTATAACGATGTCAAACGGCTACCCGACATTCTGAGGCTTCTTTCCATGTCGGACCAAAGTTAAACGAGCAAAGTAGTGCTTGAGGGACAATTTTGTCAGCGATACAGTTATTGAAGAAGAATGACGAAAAAACTTCCCATGAGCCAAACATAGCGCTAGCTTTGCAAATTAGCTGGGTGACGTCGACTGAGAGTGAATCCGGATACGTGTGGCCGGGCAAACTCGATTATGCTACGTGTGGACGTGGAGATCTTTGAATCCGCAAAGCTAGGATGATTTGCGGATTCAAAAATATCCGGATAAGTGTGGAAGGGGCCTTAATCAAGAGCAAAACTGCAATTACTATCTCTGAGATAGCCGCAAGCTTACACATGTAGATAGCAAATTGCTACCTACATGACATGTTCAGAATTCTTATCAATTAGGCTAGCATTTATTATCATATTTCAATTTCTTTGTAAGATGTACAGTCGACTCCCGATAACTCGAACCTTCCACGGAAATTGGAAAAAGTTCGAGTTATCCCGAGTTTAAGTTATCGGGAGCTCGAAGAAAATAGCAACTTTTTTTTTCTAATTATCTGTTTAACTTAACAATCCTATCGAAAGCATTCTAAGCTAAAAATTCTTTACCAATAGTTTAAAAAAAGTACGTTTGAGCGTGCAATAATGTTTGAAACCCGAGAAAGAAAAATTCTCTTCAATCAGAAGTCCCGTTCTGGTCATGAAATCTAGTTGCTGCGGAGCGACCGTAGGGAGCGAGCAGCAACATAATCAGGATTTAAGGAAAATATATAAGGTGAGACGAATTCTCGAATTCATCTCTTTTTACCACAATGCATTGCATTTAACCAGAGTGCACCGCGCCACTTTTTACCAGAATGCATTGCACCACGAAAAATTTTAATAAAAACACGAGGAAGTTCGAGTTCCTGTTAAGACTCAGAGTTTTCTTTGTGACAAAGCAGTAGAGATCTTACCAAATTTAAGACACGCGAGAGTCTTTCAGATGAGTACGATGGTTAACTTGGGGATTGGATTTCAAGAGCCTTTGACTCGTCCAGGCGTTAAACTTGACGAGAAGATGAGCATTTGCTCTTCGACTCCGCAGCACGGGGGATACTTGCTAGAAGATGATGTGAAAGTGAGACAATGTCATGCCATGCTATTCTTAGGAATCTGTATGAGCCGAAAATGCATGTGATTTTGACCATTAGCTTCAAAATAACAGCGGAAATCGAGATAACAAAACATATGTTTTGCGTCCTACTTTGCAGACGAGGACGTGTATCGGCGTTTTGTAAAGCATAATTGTGTTCTTTCATTTATTCATTGCCATGGAATGCGTTTACATTGTTTTTTTTGTCTTTTTACTGTTAATAGCTCGGTTAATGCGGCTCGAGTCCTACTCAGAGCCTTTTCTTTTTTTCCTTCTTTCTTTCTTTCTTTTTTTGTGTTGTTGTTTTCTATACATATATATGCCTAAGTAACTGTTATTTAATAAAGTGCAATAAACAGCAAGAAAAGTATTCCAGAGAAAAATAGTACACCGTATATTAAAATTAATATGTGGATAAACAATCCGAATTTTTGTCATTTCGTACAGTTTACTGTGCGAAACCAGAGTTGAAAACCATTTGATCGTTTTCTGAACAACCTTCCCACGAGTTCTTTCTATATACTGATAGTAACTAGGGTATCTAAAAGATAGTAATGCTGCGGCACATTCTGTTGATACTGGTATTAGTTAGGCAGTGAGACTTAAAAGAATCAAAAATGACATTGAATGTCCTATTTACATGTTGGAAAGTACTAGAATAATTACTATCAGTCTATAGAAAGAACTCGTGGGAACATTGTTTAGAAAATGATCAAGTGGTTATCAACTCTGGTTTTCCCACAGTAAATTGTAGGAAATAATAGAAATTCAGATCGTTTATCCATATATTTAATATACGGTGCACGATATTTTCTCTGGAAACACAATACTTTTCTTGCTGTTTGTTGCACTTTATTAAGTAACAGTTATTTAGCTATATATTTATAGAAAACAACAACACAAAAAACGGGAAAAAAAGGAAAGAAGGAATAAATAACTCAGTAGGATTCGAACCCGGCACCTTCGACTCGACGAGGCTACACTTAACCACTACACCACAGAGACTGATTACGTAGTTTGAAGGAAAAGTCTTTCATTTTATTCCTTTTCCATGAAACTTCCACCGGCAAGATGATCGCCAGCCGCATTAACCGAGCTATTAACAGTGAAAAAACAATGTAAACGCATATTCCATGGCAATAAATGAATGAAAGAACATAATTATGCTTTTCAAAACGCCGATACACGTCCTCGTGTGCAAAGTAGGACACAAAACATGTTTTGTTATCTCGATTTCCGCTGTTATTTTGAAGCGAATGGTCAAAATCACATCCATTTTCGGCTCATACAGTTTCTTAAGAATAGCATTGCATGACATTTTCTCACTTTCACATCACCTTCTAGCAAACTGGAATTTGTATATCCCCCGTGTTGCGGAGTCGAAGAGCAAAAAAGGCTTGAGTCAAAAAAGGCCCCTGAATTGAAATCCAATCCCCAAGTTAACCATCGTACTCATCTGGAAGACTCCTGCATGTCTTAAAATTTGGTAAGACCTCTAACCTTGCTGTAGAAAGTTTGCCACAAAGAAAACTCTAAGTCTGAGCAGCGAACGATGCACTCTCTCACCCACCGAACTTCCCCGTGTTTTTATTTGAGTTGTTCATGGCGCAATGCACTCTGGTTAAATGCAATGCATTGTGGTAAAAAGTGATGAATTCGAGAATTCGTCGCCCCTTATATATTTCCTTTAAATCCTGATTATGTTGCTGCTCGCTCCCTTCGGTCACTCCGCAGCAATTATTACATTCCAACATATAAATTATAGGACATTCTTGTTCATGTCATTTTCTTTTAAGTCTCACGCAAGCAGATAGATCACTGCCTAACTAATGTACATGTCAGTATCAACAGAATGGGCCGCAGCATTAATATCTTTTAGATACCCTGGTATATATTTCATTCTATTCACCTTTGCTAAACGATTTAAATCTTGCAGCGGAAGAGGTTACATGAATATTGCTCCTTAACAGCGCTGAACTTAGAGGAAGTGATCATACCTTTTACAACAGAATAACTACTTTTCAGTGTTAACTTTATCTTTTTTTAAGCATGAACTTACTGAACTCCATCTTTTCCCGACATCGCACCACATCTTTGGTCACACAGCCCAGCAATCGTATGACGTTAGGATGAGGTTTAAGCTTCTTCAACAAGTCCAGTTCAGACAAAAGGTCCTTGAGATCGGACTTGGAAGATTTTTCTACAATCGAAATATAACTTTCATTTGTGTGAAATGGTTTGTGGGCTTGTTTGGCCCATGACTGTCCACTCTTGTCAACTGCTCGGAAGAGAAATTAGAAAGGTGAGCAGGTTTTCTAGAATAACTAATAAAATAATTGGCAAAATTTATTTTTCTTTTTGCTCTAGTATTATTTTGTACCCCGCTATGGCTAGATTTTTCTCCAATGGTGTGCCTTGTAAGGGTATTAAAATCAGAGAAATTTGAAAACAAAGTTGACATTCCGCGACGACACCATCACCATTTTCCCCTTTTCATGAAATGACATCCGAGGAACGAGCGCAGAATTCCATACTGACGACACGTGCCTCTGATTGGACGAAGTAAATTTTGAACCAATCAGAAGCACTATCCTGATGTCGTGTCATCAAAATGGAATTTCTTCGCTCCTTCCTCAGACTTTTTCGGCTGTTTTCTCAGGCTAAGAAATTGAGGGTAGCATTTACAAGGATTGAAGTGAAAAACTCATTCTATTATTCTAATGGTAGGGAAATTTAGCGTCTCAGCTTAGAATATTGAAGTTTCCAGTTTGATGTATCCAATTTAAGTTGGACTAACCTTGGTATCTGTTTTGTTTTTTGGTATTTTTTTTTTTGGAATCCCATCTATAAGCTGCAGGTACTAACCGGTGCTCGAAAATGTGTAGATTAGCCAGTGACGGGGGTCTCACCTCACCTTTAAGCATTTTAACGGCCACCACGGACCAGCTTTTGGTACCATTCATTTCCCACGCCGCACCCTTCCACACTTGGCCAAACGACCCACCACCGATTCTTTCAAATAATGTCAAATGATTGCATGAAACCTCCCAGTTGGTGTTAGAAAACACTGGCGTGTATGGGGATTCAACTTTGCTATGCGGCTTCATGGTAGAGCCAGTTTTCCCCACTGTGTTCTGGTAGAAAGACTTTAGACATTGATCATTCTGATAGCCGGTGGCTCCGTGAAAAGCTATCGTCCGAGGGCTGGTACAATTTGATCGCTCAGCCATTCTAGTTCGTGTATCTGTACATCGCGTATTCAACGGTGGCAGAGTTAATGATGAATCCTTATGTTGGAAGCTTTCAGTGACAATTTTACCCATAATCTTCAACCTTGGTTTTGGCCGAGGCCTAGATTGGAAGGTATGGGCTTTTCTATCGCAAGTGCAGCGACTGGTTTGAGCCCTCACTTGCAAATTTTCACTGTCCACTGGTTGAAGGTAATTCTCAGAATTTGAATTTTGATGGCATACACCAGTTTCAAATTGATTTCTCCGAAAGGTTTCTGACTCCCTGACTGCTCTCGTTTCCTGATTGATCTCTTGAATGCTTCCGTCCATTACTGCACCTGTTCTCTTACTAGTTTCCATGACAACTTGGTTGTCCCCTTCAGAATTAGCAGGGTTGATATACCCAGTAATAGGAGCCTGACTATCCCTTATTGCTTTGATAACACTGCGATTTTCAGTTGTTTTCACAGCACTGGACTCCTGATTTAAAGTAACTGCTCGAGTGAGATAGTTCGCTTCTGGATGGAATGATGTCAGTGCAAAAACTCTGCCAGCGCTCCTCTGTTCACAGTTCTCTCCAACTTGACTTAGTGTCACTGTTGCTGACAATTGTTCTGAAGCCCTGTTCGATTCTGAGGTACCCACTGGCAATTCTGATGACGTCACCGAGTGTCTTTTATTCATACCATCTCCTTGAAACTGCAATAAATAAGTACAGTCAAACCCCGTTAATACGGACACTGAGGGAGCTATATAGAAAGTGTCCGCATTAAGCGTGTTGAAGTTAGAGAAAATATAGGAGCTTCTTTCCCAAGGGCAAAGCAAACTGACCGTAATAATGAGGTGTCCGTAAAACTGTCCGTAATAATGAGGTGTCCGTAAAGCGGGTTTTGACTGTTGTTTATCCCTATTTTAATCCCTATGTTCATAAAAATATTTATGAAAGCAAACCGATGAGACTGAGGGAATAAAGGTGGGCCCTAATAAACTGAAACATGATCATCTTATCATTTTTCCCGATCTAAAAGTAGTAAATTAAAAAAAGAGGGCGTAAACCATTCAGTGTTGGCAGTGGTAGAGGGTGGAAACTAAAACGACCCCGAATTTTTTAAGGGCAGGACTGGCTAACCCTCTCGCGAAAAACCTTCTGAATACATTAATACTGAAACGCTGCTAAGCAATCTCTACAAAATTAACGGCGTTTTTAAAATACTTTTATCTAAAAGAAGAAAGTGACGTAAGAAATGAAAAAAGGGATCTCACCAAATCAGAGGATCCATTCTCCTGTGATGTAAAGTACAATCTTGTTATTCTGAAAAAAATAAGTGAGGTATTTTTTCTTGCGGCATAAAACAGATAGTATAGGTTACAATTTTTCACTTTCGAGTATTCGTTTCCAAGTCATCTATTTACGATTGATAGGGCCCTCAGCTTGGCTGAAAATGACCGAATAACCGGGAAAGAGTTTTGCATTCTAAGTGGCGCTTTAAAGTTTGTATCTGTTCGGTCCAGTCCTAGGGCAACGTCAATCTTTTCGAAATTACAGTGGCTTTAGTATTATTTTCCCAGAACTTTAGATTCAATTCCAAGTTTCACAAAGCTTAAAATATTACTGATTCCTTTAATACTCTATAAAATTTCCAATCCTAAAGTATTAGGTTTCCCTTTTTTTCGAAATATAGCTAGACCTAGGGAGTGAAATGAAAAATTGGACTTCAGAAAATCGTAGCGAATTTCTCTCTGATAAGCCTCGAGAATTGATCATGAATGGAACTGTCATCTAGAAATTCAAGCCGTCCACCATGCCAATTACGGAAAAGTTTAAGCAATCTGGGCTGAGTTGCTCAAAGCATGGTTAGCTTTAACCATTGGTTAAGCAGTATCAAAACCAATACGTTGTCAAGGTATTAAACCCTGGTTAATGCTAACCATGCTTCGAGCAACTGGGCCCTGATTTAATTCGCTTCTTCGAACAGATATTTTACAGAAAGTAGTCTTTAATTGGGTTCCCCTGTTACAATTTTGCCAATTAAAAGCAACTTGTCACTGCTCTGCGTTTTTTTTAAGTTAGTATTTCAAGATTTCTTAGTGCACCTATGGGAATAAAGACGTTGTATTAACACTACTGAAATGACGATAGCAAAATTACGTTTTTAGATCGCGGTGCTTTGAAAAAGTGAAAAAGCCCATGAATGCATGGTAATGCGCTCGCTCACAGCTGACTCAGTAGATAAATAACGCTTTTTCCAAATCTCCCAGTAGACACACACACGTTGAAGTCTGTGGACTGTCACTTCCTCCTTTTCTAAGCAAAAATTAATATCAAAATTTTTCTGTTTCTGTTCAAGTAAAATCTATTTTTTAAATGAATTGAATAGACAACCCCACGATGAAAGACGAATGACGGATAAACGTTTTCTTCAAAATATAAAATACATACGCTCTGATTTCTTGATGACCTGTTAAATTCGAAAAGAAAGAATCAATGTTAGAATCTATGTTCAAAATGTCCTTGTTTGTGTACGTGGAGATATCTACGTCCCACATATACGTAATTACATTTCATCAAGCCTGTTCGCTAGCAATGTAGCTGTTTCGCCCCATGTAAGGTCTGTAAGGTATCTTTCGCCCCATTTTAGGTATTCATAGCCAGTATATAGACAGTCTAGGATTGTGGTTCCACGCTGTGAATTCCCGATTTCTTGTCACTGGAACCTGGATTCGGGATTCTTGTATCAGGACAGAGATTACTATGGACATCATGCAATAAATGAGTTATTTTTTGAAAGAACAATTATGACATGAACTGTAAAAATTTAGTTAACTTACGTTGTTCTTTTTCCTTTCTACAAACAGATTTCCTGCATAAACAGTAGATTCCTCCTAGAAGCAAGGAAGATAAGGCAATGGGAATCATAATGCTTACGAGGGTGACATTATAATTCCTCTCCTCATCTTTCTTGTTAGCCCTGTCCGTTGGTGACATCCCTGTTGCAACCTCTGTTAGAGAAAAAAACAGACGATATCAAAACGACTTCTCCCGTCTAGGAAAAGTAAACCAAACTATACTGGTAATGTAAAGCAGTATTGGTCACAACTCGTAGCTAGAGTTAATTAAACATTGAGGTGAAGGCCGGCAACGCAACTAAGCGGAGGTTGGCCGTATAGCATACTGTTCCAGAAAAACTCCAGTTTATTCTAAAAGAAACACCTTTATAGAAGCTTGTATAGTAATAGCTTTCACCCATGAAGAGACAGCTCTTAAATGTAAATTAGTACTGAACAAAACTACAATATTGTTACGAACGAGTTCTCCCCAAAAGTTTTTAATGAGGTTTCCGAACTACACGAACAATATGCCATAAACGTTGGCGCAAACTTAATAACCCAAATAGGTCGTAAGTTCCCTGTAATTGAAACGTTACATAACGGGTCTTTGATCAGTGGTCACCTTCTATGTCAGAGTGTACACGTATTTCCCTTTATTGTTCAGCTGGGCAAAGTAACACTTGGTAGCCGCTAACAGAGATGACGACAACAGGGGAACTCCAGCCGGGATGGCCAAAAGGGGGAGTGCCTGGTCGTTTGATGGAGGTGGCGCTTGGTTCAATTTACAATTATTTGATACAATTGTATTTTTGGTGGTCCTCTTAATATTCAACTTTATTTAGGCCACAGCCATTTCAAACGGCATACATTTCTTTCCGCAGCAACTTGCAATGTTGTTTGGTAATCCTAGAATCCTATGCATTTTTAAAATAGGTCTCCGATTAATGGTAAATTATTCATGTCATAGAGCAAGCAAATTTTTCCGAATATTTTTCTTAGTTCCTGTAACTCATGAACTTATCGTACTTGTGTGAAGCGACTTCGCTGTTGTCTTGGTTCTCCGATTGGTTCCATCCGCAAAATTTGTAGAAATTATCATTGTTTTGCTACTTTCTAATTCACTTTCGCCCCATTCGTTCCAAGCTGTTACTGCGAACATGTAACGTTTATAGGCAGCCAGTTCTATGTGGTACATAAAACCGGAAACATTTCTTCGTAACCAGGATTCCTTGCGAGACATATCCTTGTCTGCCACCTTTGTCATGTGCAACACTCGGTGCCAAGCTGTATAGGTCGTCACCAAGCGTCCCTCACTGTAAACCGCTGACCACCGAAGAGTCCAACTAGAATTCACGACTTTTGTGTTTGTGTTAAGAATCGTCGGGCTTGCAGGGAGAACTTAAGATGAGAGAAGAAAATGTTATGATGTAGGAATACCTATTTTAAGGGACCACTCTTACAATATATCAGAACAAAACCATAGGTGTATTTGCAACCATGAAAACATAACTAATCATCTTTGTGGAGAGGAATTTTTTTTCGATTAAAAATGAAAATATTAAGGCTTGGTTTTTCAAGTGGTGTAATTGTTTTCCGAACAACTTGTTGTTAATTCTACTAGAAATTAGTACTCACTCATAATTTTACCATCGTAAAGATTCCCATCCGTTAAGATCTTAACTGCATGATAGCATGATTTTAAAATCCCAGCTGACAAGCGACATTCTCCATGTTTAGCATTCACATTAAGCATTTGGCGATCAGTGCTTCAAAATTCCATTGGAAGATTGTTAATCGTGATCTTAAGACGGTTTTTCTTTGTCGCACCACCGAATTCTGCTGGAAAAGCTCATTGATTTTATCAATTACAGAGAGGAAATCGAGTCTCTTTCCATTCAGTAATTGCTTTGCTTAGGTTATCCAGAACTATATTATGAAAAAAGCCGTTTATATGCCGATCGCTATTCATTATGACAGGATTTTTCAGTCTCACAGCTTTATTAGGCTAACTACTAACTTCTGAGAAAAACAGTTCTCCTGTCTTCTCCGGCTTCATTTTGGGTGACACAAGTGTACTCGCCCCAGTCTTCTTGAGTTATATTAAATAGCCTGATCACCACGGTGGAAGTACCGTTACCATGGTTGCTGACGACATTTCGTCCTCTGTGCCACGTGACATTGAGAAGAGATAACCCGCTGGCTATACAACTAAGGTTTACATTTTGTCCCGTTCTAAGGATCGGTGGTGTAGTGATGTCGGTGATTCGTGGCAAATCTGGAATGGGTAGAAACAAATTCATGGCAAGAAAATGGATCAACTTTCAACTTTTTACCTCTAGAATCATACTCATAGTTAAACCGCTGATTTTCGCTGTCACCTGGGGCACTTTCCATTCAGCCAAAAATTCCGGAAATTTTCGTTAGAAATGGCAAAATAAGACGGACCCATTTTGGTTCGGTCCGACCGGAATATTTAGGACCACCTTTGAAAGTGGTCAAATTTGACCTTTCCGGTCACTAATATTTCAGGCAGTCGGTCGGAATGAAATGTTTCTTTTCATTTGACATACTTGTTGTCCCAAGAACTGCTCTTCTGCATCCTGCTTATAATTGCAATAACCGAACGCGCGGTGGCTTGGGTCGGGTCTGTGCAACCGGAATGTATCGTTCCATTGCGCATGTCGAGTTTCCGAATTTTAAACACGAATTTTTGTTGAATGGAAAGTGACCCCTGATCTAAAGGATATTTCCCTTTAAACAGAAAGCTCAAGTTACACTTTAATCTAATGTATCGAAGACTTTTTCAAAGACGTTCGCAGCTGTATTAAGAAATCATGGCGCCCAGATGGATGTCCTCTTTCTCGAGCTTCGGTTACATTTTTCTTGCTCAGCTTCGCTAGACATTAGCATCACGACTTATAGAAATGTCAACATTTACTGCTTTAGAAATGTGGCCTAATCAAAGCTATTCCGAATCCCATTAACCGCTAACAATGTTAGAAAATATAGGATGGACCAAAGGTGGGATGGACTCTTAACCGCGTAAAATAATTAAAACAACAGTACACAAAGCGTTAGCGACAGCCAGACCTTCTGTGTTGTAGGTACATTTATAATCAATAAAATGCAAATAGTTGTATGCTATATGGAACTTCTCTGGGTCAATTCAGCTTTCAAATTATCTCATTATGCTCACGCATTTCCAATGAAACCGCACTGTGGTAGTCTCCACGTTAAGAGAAAGAGAGAAAAGTTAGTGAAGGATTTTCATGAAGCCATATTAAAACAATGAACGAGCAACCAAGCTAAACGAATGTGATGCCTCATATAATGATGCAATTGTGTGAGGTAAGCAGGGTGGGAAGACATGCTTAACTGGGCGTCGCCACCAAATGGGAAGGTATACGTACGAATAAATGTGGGAACTATAATAAAGACTCCAAAAGAATTTTCTTATAGCTTAGTTTTAAACCGTTCCTTTAATTTATCCCAATTGCAAAATCGTCGGGACAGAACCGAAATTCGAGGAATTCAAGTAGTTGATACTAAGAGAGTCGACATAAAAAGCATGGTATCATGAATTCATCGCTCATATTTCAATTCATTTTTATTTTAGTTAGATCATGGGGGAAATTAACAATGATGAAAAACATATAAATAGCCACATGCTTCTACCTACGTTTTGCCTCAACTAGAAGCTGGACTACATCTTTCAATGGATTGTCCGCGAGTCCAAACTCAACTTGAATACCAAAATCCACATTTCCGTCGGCCGGCTGGACATTATATAAAACAAAAACTGCCAGGGAAGATGTCAAATTTCCATCCCAACTCACCGCTGTCTCATAGCCTGCTCTTACGCTTATAACTCCTTTTGAATCGACTGCTATAAGCTTTGGATGCAAGTAACCAGGACTTTTCCAGTAACCAAAGACGACCTCAAAGAGAGTTAGATGTGCAGGCTTATAGTACTGCCAAACCAGTGAAACGTTGTCTCCAATAAAGACCTTGGTCGGCTTATCTGGAGTAGAAATTATTCTCTGTCGATCTCCTGTTGGTAAAATACCATAGATTAATTCTTGATTGATTCTGATTCGTATTGATCACAAGGTACATCCATTTTCTGGTAGCTTAACGGATGTGTGACAGCTGGCGCGCACGAACCAAGGGGCCCCAGTGACACAGGACTCTCCGTTTCAGAGGCATGAACCACCTTGAAGTATAAATACTCGAACTCGTTCAACTTGACTAGATTTCTGGTTCGCTCAAAAGAAGCAAAGTGGTTTTAAACACTGAAAAAATATGGTTGAAGCGCAAGCTAAACTCCAAATAAAGCTATCGAAAGATGGCAAGCAAAATTAGGAAAAACTGTTTGAATGCAGGGGTCCACGCAACGCGTAAATATAACTGACCGGTTCCTCTTGCCAGATCTCTAATTAAAGAGAGGCTGTAGCCAGACGTCACTTAAAGTATAAAATAAAACAAAACTGATATGCAGGGATGGCACTACGGCAAAGGGCTGATTTATTATAGGCCAATATTTCGGCTGACAAAATTTAATAGCCTTTCTCAGGGCCAGAGCTTTACTGAGAGAAAATATTTTTTTAACGGCTCCTAAAATTTGAATTTAAAATAAATATAAGTGGTTAATAATAAACTACAATTATTGCCCCTGCAGGGATTTCGCCCAGAAGACGAAATCCCGAGGAGGCACTCTAGTAACTCGAGAGTATATATAGGGAAGTACTTACAGTTGAAATATACAGTCATTATGCCAGAAAAAATCTCGATTTGCTTAAACAGGGGCCGCGAGGAATCGGTAGATAATGATGACGTTTCTATTGTTTGCGCCCGCAAGTACGAAATGTCGAGAAATGGTTAGGATGACGTAAAGACAAAAAATCCCGAAGGGACCGCGCTTACTTAGATTTTGTGACATTTATTCATTTTGCGTTACGTGTTATCAGTGACATGCTGTGGAGCCGTTGTTTTTAAAGTTATGGACCAAAAGACACTCGTTAAGCGCAGATGAATTTAGAAGGTTCGTATAACTGTGTATATAAACACTTGGAGAGTTTGCCAGACACGAGTTCACAAATCTTTGATTGGAAAACTTGCCAGACACTCTTTCTCTCTCTTTGACCGGAATAAGACTCAGCCCCAAACAAGCAAGACGGGTGAACAACGGCTAGCTTATCACTAGCAGAACGATGGACGATTACAGAAATTCGCAGACAATCAAATTCTGTGCTGACTTAGTCCCTGCTCACAGACGCCCTTCCGCTATAATGTTTAAAATACTGACTAGAATGCGAGAGCGTGAATTGATCAAACGTCCTTTTAATTTCTAAGGCTTTCTTTCCGGCAAATAAAATGAACTGAATGTAAAAAGTGAAAGAGAAATAGCGAAAAATTCAACTTCTAATTAAACCTTTTCTTATGGTTTGGAATAAACTATTCTCGAAACTGAGAATGTTTTTATCAAAGTTGTGTAGTCCAACTGAGACTTGCGTTTCCTGTATTTATCTCACCTATTTGTATCGAAGACTTTTTCAAAGACGTTCGCAGCTGTATTAAGAAATCATGGCGCCCAGATGGATGTCCTCTTTCTCGAGCTTCGGTTACATTTTTCTTGCTCAGCTTCGCTAGACATTAGCATCACGACTTATAGAAATGTCAACATTTACTGCTTTAGAAATGTGGCCTAATCAAAGCTATTCCGAATCCCATTAACCGCTAACAATGTTAGAAAATATAGGATGGACCAAAGGTGGGATGGACTCTTAACCGCGTAAAATAATTAAAACAACAGTACACAAAGCGTTAGCGACAGCCAGACCTTCTGTGTTGTAGGTACATTTATAATCAATAAAATGCAAATAGTTGTATGCTATATGGAACTTCTCTGGGTCAATTCAGCTTTCAAATTATCTCATTATGCTCACGCATTTCCAATGAAACCGCACTGTGGTAGTCTCCACGTTAAGAGAAAGAGAGAAAAGTTAGTGAAGGATTTTCATGAAGCCATATTAAAACAATGAACGAGCAACCAAGCTAAACGAATGTGATGCCTCATATAATGATGCAATTGTGTGAGGTAAGCAGGGTGGGAAGACATGCTTAACTGGGCGTCGCCACCAAATGGGAAGGTATACGTACGAATAAATGTGGGAACTATAATAAAGACTCCAAAAGAATTTTCTTATAGCTTAGTTTTAAACCGTTCCTTTAATTTATCCCAATTGCAAAATCGTCGGGACAGAACCGAAATTCGAGGAATTCAAGTAGTTGATACTAAGAGAGTCGACATAAAAAGCATGGTATCATGAATTCATCGCTCATATTTTAATTCATTTTTATTTTAGTTAGATCATGGGGGAAATTAACAATGATGAAAAACATATAAATAGCCACATGCTTCTACCTACGTTTTGCCTCAACTAGAAGCTGGACTACATCTTTCAATGGATTGTCCGCGAGTCCAAACTCAACTTGAATACCAAAATCCACATTTCCGTCGGCCGGCTGGACATTATATAAAACAAAAACTGCCAGGGAAGATGTCAAATTTCCATCCCAACTCACCGCTGTCTCATAGCCTGCTCTTACGCTTATAACTCCTTTTGAATCGACTGCTATAAGCTTTGGATGCAAGTAACCAGGACTTTTCCAGTAACCAAAGACGACCTCAAAGAGAGTTAGATGTGCAGGCTTATAGTACTGCCAAACCAGTGAAACGTTGTCTCCAATAAAGACCTTGGTCGGCTTATCTGGAGTAGAAATTATTCTCTGTCGATCTCCTGTTGGTAAAATACCATAGATTAATTCTTGATTGATTCTGATTCGTATTGATCACAAGGTACATCCATTTTCTGGTAGCTTAACGGATGTGTGACAGCTGGCGCGCACGAACCAAGGGGCCCCAGTGACACAGGACTCTCCGTTTCAGAGGCATGAACCACCTTGAAGTATAAATACTCGAACTCGTTCAACTTGACTAGATTTCTGGTTCGCTCAAAAGAAGCAAAGTGGTTTTAAACACTGAAAAAATATGGTTGAAGCGCAAGCTAAACTCCAAATAAAGCTATCGAAAGATGGCAAGCAAAATTAGGAAAAACTGTTTGAATGCAGGGGTCCACGCAACGCGTAAATATAACTGACCGGTTCCTCTTGCCAGATCTCTAATTAAAGAGAGGCTGTAGCCAGACGTCACTTAAAGTATAAAATAAAACAAAACTGATATGCAGGGATGGCACTACGGCAAAGGGCTGATTTATTATAGGCCAATATTTCGGCTGACAAAATTTAATAGCCTTTCTCAGGGCCAGAGCTTTACTGAGAGAAAATATTTTTTTAACGGCTCCTAAAATTTGAATTTAAAATAAATATAAGTGGTTAATAATAAACTACAATTATTGCCCCCGCAGGGATTTCACCCAGAAGACGAAATCCCGAGGAGGCACTCTAGTAACTCGAGAGTATATATAGGAAAGTACTTACAGTTGAAATATACAGTCATTATGCCAGAAAAAATCTCGATTTGCTTAAACAGGGGCCGCGAGGAATCGGTAGGTAATGATGACGTTTCTATTTTTTGCGCCCGCAAGTACGAAATGTCGAGAAATGGTTAGGATAACGTAAAGACAAAAAATCCCGAAGGGACCGCGCTTACTTAGATTTTGTGACATTTATTCATTTTGCGTTACGTGTTATCAGTGACATGCTGTGGAGCCGTTGTTTTTAAAGTTATGGACCAAAAGACACTCGTTAAGCGCAGATGAATTTAGAAGGTTCGTATAACTGTGTATATAAACACTTGGAGAGTTTGCCAGACACGAGTTCACAAATCTTTGATTGGAAAACTTGCCAGACACTCTTTCTCTCTCTTTGCCCGGAATAAGACTCAGCCCCAAACAAGCAAGACGAGTGAACAACGGCTAGCTTATCACTAGCAGAACGATGGACGATTACAGAAATTCGCAGACAATCAAATTCTGTGCTGACTTAGTCCCTGCTCACAGACGCCCTTCCGGTATAATGTTTAAAATACTGACTAGAATGCGAGAGCGTGAATTGATCAAACGTCCTTTTAATTTCTAAGGCTTACTTTCCGGCAAATAAAATGAACTGAATGTAAAAAGTGAAAGAGAAATGGCGAAAAATTCAACTTCTAATTAAACCTTTTCTTATGGTTTGGAATAAACTATTCTCGAAACTGAGAATGTTTTTATCAAAGTTGTGTAGTCCAACTGAGACTTGCGTTTCCTGTATTTATCTCACCTATTGTATGGAATATGTGTGAAAATCTTCGTTATATGAACCGGTATATTTCAAAGAGCTACACAACGAGCAAGAATACTATCGACCGACAATATACAGAGCGGGGGCAGCTGTAGTGCCAACTATTACTACTTAATACTAGTCAATATACAGGTAAATGATTATACAATAAAAATAGAAATAGAAACAGTTCAATGTTAATTCCCTCGTTTCAAACCGTTTGCCTCTCCTTTTTTGGAAATGCCTGAATTGACCTTCCGCGGAAGTCAGTGTTACCACATGCCCTGCACTTTTTTCTTAATTCGCCTTAAGGATGCAAGAAAAGAAGGAAACTCTCTAAGTGAGTGGTCAGGTGACCAGAGAATTTGACCAAGTGATTTACAATGAATAGAAACTAAAAAGGCTGCCGTGTTAGTCATAGAAGCTATGACAGTGATCAGCACACTAAATTGTTGGTGAGATATGGATATTACTCTCAAACCTGACGTATTTTCTGACTAGACAAGTAAAAAAGAATATACTTCTACCTCATGCCAGACGGCAAAAATATGAATAGTCTGCTAGAACAATATATTTAAGAAGATCTATAAGCTTCTAGCCGCAGATTTGAAAAAAGTGAAAGCGCAATTGCCCTAAGGCACATATAAACGACATAGAACAAAGTTTCATTGTGTCAAGACCTACCTGATATCGCTGAGTAACGGCTACTTAGTGCAAGAAAAGCAATTATGGTGAAACTATGCCAGAATCCCATTGTCAGACGTTATTTAGTTTTCAATTAGCAGTTATTCGAGAAATGTTTCGTCTAAAGCTGATGAGTACCATTGACGAAACTCCTTTAGGTATGGAGTAAATAAACGCTGCATAACTTTGAAGTGCAAACACGGACTGGAATCTTTGGAAAGACTAAACCTCTTCCCACGAACGGTTGATGCAGTCTAAGAGACGCGGATACGCTAGTCTCGAGAATGGGAACTACCGAAACCGTTATCTTCGGATTTCACAGAATGGAGCTCGAAATCCACGATAAGGACAGGTTGCAACTCTTAGGAAGTTTGTTACGATTTATACCAGTTTCCAAGAATTTTACGCCTGGCTAGTTTCTAGGAAAAAGTGAGGTCAAAAGAGATCAAACCCACCCAACAACAGAAAACCAATCTCGTAATAATCGGTGCTCTTGTTAGCGTATTGGTCGAAGATCATATTCCACATTCAAACGTTTTTTTATATATATATTTGTCTAGTTGTATGGCTTATAGAGTAACGACTATGACAACGTTCTGATTTATTTAACATTTTTTAGTCCACCGCTTTACTTGTTTTTCGGTTAGTGTTAGAATTCAGATTCGTAGTTAAGCGGTCGGTTCGATCTTTTGCTGCACTTTGCTCAGCTTAAGTGAACACATACCCATTTAGTAGAGTTTCAATGATTTGAAAAATATTTTTGGACGAAAACACTTGGCTTTAAGCCGAGACCCTCGTCTAGAGCTCAAATTTCACATAACTTTAGCTTGGCTCATAGCCGAATAAATGCGGTAAATAAAAATATTGTCGTCTCAATCCCGATAAGAAAAGTGTTGTGATAATGATGATAATGATGATGGTGATGGTGGTGGTGGTCAGGTGTTGGTGGTTGTGATGATGATGATGATGACGACGCAACAGAACTCTGACAATTGTGTTTCTACGTACGGTCTCTCTCCTTGAGGGTAGAAAAGATCGATCCCGGATATAGAAAGAAAAACAGGAAATAGTTGATCATAATCGCAAGTACGAAGTAAAGTGGGAAAGAGTTTAAGATAAGAGTTAATTCAGTTATTGACGTAATTATTATTTTAGCATACGTTGAATGTCATGTACTAAATTTCTTCTCCTACTGATATGATAAAGTTCAAACCAGTGCATGCACGTACAAAATGGGAGTAGCTTCCTTTCTAGCTTCAAGTTTATCAAAACGTTTTGCTCAATTAGAATTTTAATGTCATTTTGTTTTCCCACAGCTAAATGTATATAAATAACCAAAAGATGAAAAAATAGGCGACTAAAGTCGTAATATTGGCAATTCATGAAGTGATTCTCAAACTTAGAAAACACCCCTTGGTGAAATAGGGGTCTAGCTTTTAATCCAAGTTCTTACCTGACGTAAACATTCTCTCCATTGCAAGAAGAAAAGAAAGGCCGACTAAAACATCCTTAGCAGATTTACACCGCATTTTCATTTCAGGTATGCGATTGAATTGGGACAGAAGCAACGGACGGTGCGTGAGACATGTAAGAGGGATCTGTATACTAATTCAACATAACGGTGGCCATACATAGCGAGAAAAGCCGAAAAAAACCTTCGTATTTTGATGCTCCCCTCAAAAGCACCGTCCAGTCGATGAAACGGGCTTTCGAACGATCGAATACATTTCTTGGAATCGGCCAGGGCTCCTTTTACTTATCCAATTGGAACCTTATACCGAATAGGAAAGTGAAGTTTTGACACTGCATTTTCTGTGCCCAAGACAATACCCAATACGTACTAATATTATTTAACTGCTCGCTTTTTCATAAATTGTTTATTGCATTAATAAAACTCAAATTTTTTAGTCTCAAGAAGGGAAATTTCTGAGTCATAATAAGCCATTCACAAGTGTTTCAGTTTCTGAAACCAATGATGTTTAAGCTTGCTGTCGGTCTGAGCAAACGATACTCACGCGGGCATTGAACTCATTTTCAACTCATTTACTGAGTGTGCATCATCAGCGGTGCAACTTACTGAAAGTTGTGCCACCTTGTTAGGGTCATCTTCACAATGCGAAAAATTCAACTTCTAATTAAACCTTTTCTTATGGTTTGGAATAAACTATTCTCGAAACTGAGAATGTTTTTATCAAAGTTGTGTAGTCCAACTGAGACTTGCGTTTCCTGTATTTATCTCACCTATTGTATGGAATATGTGTGAAAATCTTCGTTATATGAACCGGTGTATTTCAAAGAGCTACACAACGAGCAAGAATACTATTGACCGACAATATACAGAGCGGGGGCAGCTGTAGTGGCAACTATTACTACTTAATACTAGTCAATATACAGGTAAATGATTATACAATAAAAATAGAAATAGAAACAGTTCAATGTTAATTCCCTCGTTTCGAACCGTTTGCCTCTCCTTTTTTGGAAATGCCTGAATTGACCTTCCGCGGAAGTCAGTGTTAACACATGCCCTGCACTTTTTTCTTAATTCGCCTTAAGGATGCAAGAAAAGAAGGAAACTCTCTAAGTGAGTGGTCAGGTGACCAGAGAATTTGACCAAGTGATTTACAATGAATAGAAACTAAAAAGGCTGCCGTGTTAGTCATAGAAGCTATGACAGTGATCAGCACACTAAATTGTTGGTGAGATATGGATATTACTCTCAAACCTGACGTATTTTCTGACTAGACAAGTAAAAAAGAATATACTTCTACCTCATGCCAGACGGCAAAAATATGAATAGTCTGCTAGAACAATATATTTAAGAAAATCTATAA